CTTGTAACGGTTCGTCACATCGTGGTCTTCTTGACTGTCTGAGAGCCATGCGACTTGAGATCGATGAAGCATGTCGAACTGCATACGAACAACACCATGCTGTGGATCGGTATTCGCTGTTTTGGTTTGAAGAGACGGATTGGGTATGCGCTCTGGGAGTAACCGTTCCGCCTCATGCAGGCCCCGGCTACAAAAGGCTCTATGTCGAACTAATCGCCGCAGCATTTAGCTGGTCCAAAGAAGTCGCACAAGCCAGAGTCAGATTCGTCATTGCCTCCGATGCCATGGCCCACACCTACCATATGTGGTATGCAATTGGGGACCGCTTTCGGTACACTTTGGACCTAAGTGAACAGCCCGAAGTCATTCCTGTTGTATGCCTTGCTATACACGCAGATAAGGATCACATGGTAGGTTTGAGGGGGTTTAAGGAGGCACATGTGCTCCAACATAACGCTTACGTATCACTAACACATTTCTTCAGAGTTGCTCATTGTTCTGGCTCACATACACCGACAGATCCACTGCTTGGCCGTTCTCGACACCATACCGCCTTTGCCACTCAACCGGTAACTTTACAAGCCAGCCTTCCGTACTGCACGTAGGTTCCAATGAAGTGGGCTAACACCAAATGATCGATCCAGGTGTGTTTGGGGGCTTTGGCTCTTTCCTGACTGGCATGGAAATGCTTTGTGATACGGCTTCCTGTGCGAAATCAGAGCAAGGGCTTTCGGAGTACGAGCTTACCTGGCTTCGCAACCAAGCGTATAATTTTCGCGTGGATCGCAATTAGAGAAACCATTCACGCAAATTCCGCATTCAGTCATCTCCAGACCGACTTCGTGCCTGGTGGAGAATCAGCAAAGACATGTCGGCGCACTATTGGGCAAGTGCATTCCACCGCCCCCGCGAGGTGGTTCATGATTACCTGCGTCAAATGGAGTTTGTTGCCAATACCGAAGGTGCTCACCAGGTCATTTACGTTGGCGGATTCTGTGGCCATGATCATCCTCTCCATGACTTATTATTCACTCATTCAGGTTGCCCTACCGTTTGCAGACCTCCTGGGCCTTATCATCTTGTGTGAGTCATGTTCCCCCTTTCCACCCAACCCCGCAATTCTCTAGATAATACGAACTAAGTGCCCTTCGTCATAATTCTAGTGTCGCCCCTCTAGGAGCGCGCCAGGTGGCCGGAGATTGGCGCACAGTGAACGATTTCTTCTACGCGAACGGTGCGGCAATCGGCTTACAGAGGATGAAAGCTGCAACAAATGAGTGGGACAGCGGAGCAGATGTCCTCTTGTACTGGGTGAGTTCCATCTCTCGGCTCGTGAGAAACGTGATGCGCAGCCCCTTCAGCGCACCAACCCCCCTAATAGCGAAGTGATGGAAGCCGACAAGAGGAATCAACACGAACGTATGGACCATTTCCTGACTCAAACTTGCCTCGCCATCTAGAATCTTGAGAACCCCGCCTACCACACCTATCAGCGCGGGTTTCCCGACTCAAACCCAGGAGACAAGTTTCGCCTGATCTGCGATCCCTTCTATGCAAAACATACGCTTCAACGCCGCCTCACTTGGGAGGTCGAGCTTTCTGTCGCGAATGAGCAGCCCATGGACCCAAAACCAATGAGGCCCAACCGATGCTATGTCCTGGTGGACGAAAACCGCATGCCGACTCCTTCGAAGACGGGTGTTTACGGATGCAGAATCAGATTGACGAAGCTTTGGAGGAAGGATCAACAGAGATTGGTTATTATTGGCTTCTACGATGGGAAAAGGCCGAAAACGGTGGGGAGCTGGCCGCTGTACTATGACTTTGGACCGAGCAGGGTAGAGTGTCGCTTTGATGAGGAGTAAACTAGCACTCAAGCGTGGAGGGCGCGTCGAGGAGGAGGGAAGCGAAAGTACAAGAAGGCAACAGAGCGAGATAAAGGGTGTACACTCCACACAGGCCTAAAAACCTACAAACACCCCCAAACAAGTACACTGGTTAGGGTCACTTAAGACAAAAGGAACGAGACAGCGATATATACCTATTTCTTTCTCATTTCCCTAACTTTCAAATACTTCTGTTACGATCCAATAAGGGATCACTTATGTAATTAGCTACATAGACCAATAAGGAGGGCGCCGCAGTACCGGCGCCGCGGCAGCGGCGCAGCGGCGCACCATAGAGGACCCTTATATGAAGAAGTCTCCCAGACCTCTTGTATAGGGCTCCTCAGCAAGCAATAGCTATCACAATCTACCAGTACCTTTCGGCTACTACTCCGTTACTCTATTGTTCTATCCCAGCGATAATACTCCTGTGCTTGTAACGGTTCGTCACAACTTCCAATGTTACCTAATAAGCGTTAGACATTATCAATATTCTTTATTGTTAGTAATCGATACCAAATTTGCTATTAGGTACTTGCCCCTTTTCTTCTCGACCCAACTGCACAAAACAGCCAACTACATACAAATCACAAGAGAAAACCCTAAGAGGGACTTTCCAGGCGGCTAGAAGCTTTTATATATCTTTTTGCAAATTGATTTTTGGAAGATGGTGTCAATATAGCTACTTCACCTTCTTCCATGGGCGTGTTTGTAGGGTATTTGGGCGTGCGTAGAGTGTACCCCAGATAAAGGGCCCGAAATCAGCACGCATTGAACACGTCTCAAGAGCTTGGAAGTCTGAGCTGGCATCCGGAGTTGGTGAGTACCCTTTGATTCCCATGCATCAGTCATTGCCTTCATTTTTTATTATTATCACCCAGCGTAAACTTTGTACATCATGCTTTTCCTGCCTTTGGCTTTCCCTCAAGCGTTCTTAATCACTTGGCCACTCCCCTCCTCATCACCTCCTGAAACAAAGGCTCGCGTTTGTATCAACTGCCTGGACTTCAATCGCCTGGACACCCGTTCGTATGCAGAACATGCTTCTGTTCCCAGATGACGATTCAACCGGAATGGAGTCTCTTGGGAAGGGAAACTCATCATACGGCGTATAGAATGGCAAAATGGCACAGGAACAGATGGACAGCTCTCACTGAAACCACTTCTCCGCTCACAGTCCGTGAGGCTGACTCCATCCGCTAGCACATGCCAAAGATTCACACAAGTAAGGCGCTTTTGTCACCATCCATTTCCCCGTTTCTCCTATTTACTGTACATCACTGCCTCCAACTCAGTCTTCTACCTTTGACAAAAAACACATCAACCATTGCTCCCAGCCTAGTTCCAATGGCTACGCCGGCCGGGACTCCCAGTCGGGAGCTGCGCACGCAAACACACCAAGCGACGACTTATTTACAAGCGACCAAGAAGAGGGATGTACCTACGAAGGCTCCAGGGACCGAGCTCATAACGTGAAAACACAATGATATCATGTTACGGGCCGGGAGTAAAGAACTTTTGTCGAGTGTCTTGGAACGTGCGACACCGGAGATGGAGGAGCACCACAATTAATCCAAGGGGTTCGGGATAGAGGTAGGTGGGAAGGATCTGCCGGGTCGTGCTTTCCTGGCCCCCCGGCAAAGAGTTTACACCGGCGGCGGATGTATCAGGACACTTGTTACTTGTTACCGGTAAGTATGACCTACTAGGTCTGTGAGGTTGAGGCTATCTCTCACCTCAGCCCTTCCATTTCCTTCAATTGAAAGTTTGAAACGTGTCCGCTGCCGCCCTTAAACCGTTAACCGACTCGGGAGCGATTGCGATATCGGGAGCTGTAACTGCAATGGCATTAAGCGGCCGCTGTCGGCAAGTTTGCTACGAAAAAAGGTTACTAATAACGGGTTCAGAGGTTGACCGCATGTCGTGCAAAATATGATTATCTCATGATGCGTGGATAAAAACTTCTTGTTGAGTGTCTCGGAGGTGGACATGGACGGCGTGGGCTATTTGGGTCTGGCTTGGGTCGTGTTTTCCCTCATTTCGAACCACAAAGGTACGACCAAGCCCAGGAAAGCACACAAACGCATCAAGCTAACATCACTCATAGCAATTGCGCAACCGGGAGCATAAAGAAGTTGACTACTAATTTTCGAATTCCATTTATGGGCCTGTGCTATTCCTACTCTAAGGCTCTTCCTTTCCCCTTTGATACCCCTGACCACTTTCCAACGCTATCAGACGCTGACAAACTACCAGTCAGATGTAACCATGTTACTTGACATGGTCAATAAAACATCGTAGACGCTAGAGCCTAGCTAGCGCCCAAAGACGATGTAAGGGGAAGAAACCAGGAGAACCATGCAGGATGACTGCCAGCGACAAAGCTTTTTGTCAACCACAATCCCAAAGCCCTCAAGCTTATTATGGGCATACCGCTTCAAATCGACCATCTCCCATGAGTCCAAGCCGGCCTTGAAAAACCACTTGGGTTACCCCTGACTCAATCGCTTGATCCATAGATCGCTCCAGATACCAGGCTGATAAAGTTCCCGGGAAACATCATCATGGCAATCGCAATGCTAGCTCCATTGCCGTTTCGCATCAAGCTACGAAGAGTAGGAGGTCAGTTCAAGTTCCATACGGTAGAGACATGAGCGCTGAAACTTACTTGTTGTCGGAGTGCACTTAGACGTTGTACGTGGGAGGAAAGACTGCCATGGGGAGCTCGGCCTTGCGAATCATGGCCGATACCTTGCGCCTGAAGAGCAAATTCTTGGCGCTGCCTCCGGCAATGCAGATGACAGGTTCATGGAGAGCGCCATTGAAGGGCCTTGTGGTCCAATCCTTCAACTCCTGGAGCAACTTCTCAACAAGCTCAAAAGCGTGTTTATGAGCGTCGTTCCAAATTTGAGAGACCTCGTCTTGGCTGAACGGGCAGCGGATGACCTCTCCGTTTTCGACCAAGCGCACACGGAAGGTGAACCGGTATTCCTCATAGGCATAAAGGGGAGGACCCCACATCTCTCTAACCGCATTGTTGTCGAACTGTTGACGAAGTTGTTCGGAGATGCAAGGAGTCATCGGACGTGCGGGTCCCTCGCTGCCGGCAGGAGGGTCAAGGTACTTGGCTTTAAAAGCGGCCAAGAAGTGGTGAAAGAGATTCTCAGTGCCACCGCCAGCACCTGAAATAAAGTCTCACGTCAGAACTTGAACAAGGGGTTGATGAAGTGGATGACAAGGGTTCGATGGAACTTACCAACGCTTTCAAAAGCCTTACCATAACCATCACCAATGCGTTCTTGCCGTCTGTGAAACCGCGGCGGTCCAGATGAGCGCTTCTCCAGCATGTACATGGATCCGTTTTAGGTTGACACGTCAGCAATAATTCACATTGATTAGGCCAGGAGGACAGAAGCACATACCAAGCTATGTCCGCCGTAGTGGATGAACAGCCAGAGTTGTCTGGGTTTCGTTCCCGAAGTATAGGGATTGTTTCTGTTCAAGAGGCCAAGGGCGTCGCTATCAGCGCCCATGGTAAAGCTGGTAATCTCAAACGCCTTGTTCTCGTTCCACTCGAAGACCTCTGCGAGCAGGGCCCGGAATGGAATCCGAAACTCGTGATTCCATTCAGCCGGGACTCTGACCTGCAGACGCTCGATCTTCCAGTGGTCGCGCATGTTTGAGTAGATCGATGCCTTGACTTTTCGCAACAACTCTAAGAGTCCAGTCCGAAGCTTCTGACGGAATGCCTCACTGCCGTGTTGAATGAGCTTCTGGAGCATGGGGTACTGATCGACGAACTTGTCCGCAACGTTGGCAAGGAGGTAAAATCCGTGCTTCAGCGAGACGGATTCGCGGTCGGTCAGACGATCTTCGCCCACGTACACGGGACCCTGATCGTCGAACGGATAGCCATGGGAGGCAAAAGTCCTCATGCTTTCGAGGTTGACGATAACGCGAGTCCTGTTGGTACTGATGTTAAGGTTGACCGAGATAGTTCCGCTGAAAAATTGCGAGTTGAGTCAGAACGCACGTCAATGGGTGAGCAGGAATCAGCAAACACGCCATTTCTCGTTCATCATGCGGAACATATCCAAGGCGGAAGCATGAGGGTTCACGGTGGGCGAGTTGTTGAAATCTTGTCCGCTTTGTCGGCAATTTCCAGCGGAAAATGAAGGCAGTTGCAAAGATGCGCCAAATAGAGTTGATGCAAAGAAAGGAAGGTCCTTACGCGCCGATCGTGGAAGAAGGACGGAAGGAGGTTGAAGAAGGAGGGGTAAGGCAGAAGAAGAGGGACGGGCGTTCAGTGTAGTCTACTTATACCACGAGAAAAAAAAAAAGGAATGCCAGTGAATGGAGATCGCGGTGAATGCGAGCCCAAGGTTTTGGGCACGGACTTCCAACAACTATTGTGGGCAATTCCACCCCGAGTGTCCCTTCAATTCACTGACTGTTGTCCGATGAATAACGCAGAAGCCTCACACATGAGAGTGAAGGGACAGAAAGATCAGACTGACGGACGCCAAGAAGAGTTCAAGTTCAGCCTTGACCTGAAAGGAGGGTCCGTCCCCGTGCCATAACAAGCACCCGTTTCCTCCGCGCGATCACCCTCGCCCAGTCAGTTGCCGCGCCGAGCATAGCACCACCGCCACACCAGCACTTCACTTGCTCTCGGCCCCGTCGCCCCGCCAATCTCTCAGTCACCACATTGCCCTCCGCCGCCCCAGCCGGACCCACGTCATTTATACTCGCGCCGCCGACGAGAAGACTATCCACCCAAGGTGCGATCCCGTACCCCAAAAGTCCCAGTCATCAAATCATCGACGAAGTTGGAAGTACCAACCTAGCAAGACTGAATCCACCACCAGCCTTTCGACGCGGCGCAACGAGCATCATGGACACCAACCTCTCCACACCTAGCAACGGTAAGCCACACATCCCTGTTCCACCAGAATGCAGGTCGCAAGGTGACTGACCACATCTCAAGCCCTGACCGGCTCGACCGGTTACGCTCACTCCGCCAGCTGGCTCCAGGAGTGCGCTGGACAGGTGATTCTCGCACCAGACGGCGCGACGCTTCAAGTTCTCGACTTGCACAGCATCGGCATGACGACTGCGCTCGCCAGCGACGTCCAGAGCCTGTCGGTCATTGTTTTCGAGGGAACCGTCGAGGTGATCTTGCAGGGTGCTCCCGTTTTCACCATTTCTCGTGGTGGCCACTGGGCCGTGGACGTTGGAAAGGAGTGCAGAGTGCGGAACCTCGACACGGGAAGCAACGCTATCCTGTACGTTGTTGGAATGACGATTAAGGAGATCGAAGAGTAGACGTGGTTCTTGGAAGGATCAGGACTGCTGCCTCCCGAGGTGTGATTATCAAGCAGTCACTGGTCAAGAAGAGAATGTCCCCGGCTCTTGAGGCGCTGCTGTCGTTCCCTTCATCTTCGCTGAAGGCACCGGCGGTAGCAGGATCGATAATGACAAAGCCGGAAACAACAAAAGCAGAATAAGCGCAGCCACAGGCAGGAACGCCGATACCATCAATTACCTACACGATATACCACGATGACAGCCCTGATGAAATGAGAGTTCGGTTATGTGTGTTGAGCGAGGTTGGTCATGTTCAAAACAGGGTGAAAGCTACTCACTCTTCTTGATGCTGGTGAGTCGTGGAAGCAATTGGGAGAGGAATCACCTGTTAGCCGCTTGCCATAACTGGATATTTGTCAGAACTCACAAGTGGTTCATGTGACTCTTGACGCTTTACCTTTGGTAATGACTTGTGTCTAGTCTTCACGATGGCCCTCTCCCTTTCTCTTCTGCCCATCTCTGCTAATGCTTGTAGAACCAGCCAGAGGTAAAGAACAGCTTGCATACGGGTATGCTACTCGCAAATGAGGTCTTGGTAGTGGGCGAAACGTGTGCTGAGATTTGCCATGCGGACTGTTTGAGCTCTTGGAGGAAATGCGACATGTATCATCACCAAGCCCCCATGCTCCGCGGCACTGCCAATTTGGGTTGTGGTTACAGTATGCACGAGTAGTTAACGCAGGTATCATCAGGGTCTTCTTGCCTCTGCATGTCTCTAGTGGAGAACCGCATCAGGAAGGTAAGGCATCTCATGCTGCAGGTGTCGTTCCCATGCATCTAATGAAGTTTGGTATTTATCCCAGGCTGTGGTGCATTGTTCGTTCCTGCTTACGTCAACCTCCAATCAACCCCAAGCGCCGCACCCTGGTGGTTACATTCTACCTCTCACTTTTTTATTCTTCCGACAGAATCTGAGATCTTCGGTGCGATTCTCACAATGGAAAGCAAGCAGAAACTGTACATACTCGTGTGTTGCCGTACCATGTCTCCCCTCCTTCCTCGTCCTCTTTCTCCTTATAGTCTGGTCCTTCTCGCTCCCACGATACCGACATGTCTTGCTCCTTCTCTCAACACCGAAGGCATTCACATCAAGTTTCCCACCCAGAATTGCGACCATGGTGACCACCACGAACAGTCCCAAGAGCCCCAGAGCCCCAAGAGCAAGAAAGCTACCCCGGCCCCAGCTCCGGCCCCGACCCCGCTCAGCACCGAAGCCCAAAACGCCACGGGTATTCTTCCTGCCTCGCACTGGGTGACACAACCGGTAAGCCACCCTCCTCGTTATCTGAAGTCTCCGTACTTAGCATGCTGTGGGATTTCATTTCCCCAAAGTTACCTACATGTCTCTGGCGGTTGGCTCAAACATGTACCAAATCATGACCATGGCTGTTCTACTCGACCCGGAAACCGAGCGTCCTAATATCGAACGGTACATTGAGTTCAGGCACGTCTCTCGCGTCCACCACCGCTTCCTTGGCTTGGAGCGTTTACGAATACCGCACCATTCATGGAAGAACCTATCATGGCGAGATGGGTAATGCTGAATCGTGGGAACTGAACGATGAGCGTCACCTTGAGGCCATGGAGATTATGTAAGCACCCGCATATCTACTTCACTGTAACGGCCCGCCTGTTGTCTGCAACAGAACCAATCCAGCTCACACTCCTGATTGATGATAATTGGTTCGATCACACGTTTTATCACTTGAAACAGGCATCATGCTCTGACTTTGCAGACCGATGGAAAGTTGTACCTCGCCCCGCTGGAGAAGAAGAAGATCGAAAAGGAGCTCGATATTGCGACAGGGTCTGGACTGTGGGCCATGTGAGTGCGACTCAATTCATCGTCGATCATGGATACTTGCTAACAAAGTCCGTGTTTGTTAGCGATTTTGCCGACGAGTTTCCTGACGCCGAAGTCATTGGTACCGATGTTTCTCCAGATGAAGCAAGCAGGCGGAGAGGACTGGGACGACTTCCTGTTACGGTCCTAGGGCCATGCAAAGGCGGGAAGATCCTGATGATACCTGCATTAACAAGGGGCTCTGACCCTTGATGCAGAGACTGCATATGCCAGGCATCCCTGTCCATCCATTCACCCATCTTACCTAGCACTCCTTGGACACTCATCCACAACTCCCCTCATATCTTGGATAATCTTTCTCTGCAAACTCGGCCAGGTGTTCAGGAAGTCTCACCGAATAAATACAACCTCAGGGGCCCAGATAACAGCTCGCTTGGTGCTGAAAAACGGGAGTGGATTTGCACACTCGTGCGAACAACAGTGCGGCGGGGCAAGGGTATAGGCATATTGGCCTGCATGCTCGTGAAACCAACCCCTATTCTTGCATGGTGATTTGTAAACAATACTCCAACATTGATACTTTAACAGTAGGAAAGCATGGAAACTTGTGTTGTAGGCTCACACCAAGCTCTCAGGTAGGGATTTGCTGAAATATTGCTCGAAGATCATCTTGACCTTTGATCACAGTCTGTGGTCGTATAGCACTTGGCGACTATCTTGCTGTGGGAGGAGATCACTGCCGAGACTTCTCGACCCCGGGTCAACAGAGCCTGGACCTTTGTGTTCCCGAGTCTCACCCTTGATCAAGCATCCTCTTCCATTGCTTCCTCTCCTCCATGGACGATGACTGGCTGAACAATGGTCTCGGCACGTCTCGAACCTGGGTCAACGCGGAGGCGGAGGCGGAGGTCGGTTGTGTGTGTCGTTTTAGACTGCCCCGTCTGTTGAATCTTTACCACCATGAATATGTTGTCTCCATTCCCCTCAATGGAGGCCTCGCATTTGTAGTTATCGCGCTTCTGGGCCTTCGGAAGCTTGTCAAACAAAACATAGGATTGGAATCGACCGATCGGAAGTTTCTCTGACTTCGCTTTGGGTTTCGGATCTTGGCACGGTCCTAGGAGAGCAGCATACTCCTACCGGACGTGATAAAGCGGGTCGCAGACTAACCGGAACTGGGTCCCTTCGACATGGGGCCGGGGTCTGGTGTACTTGTACTGACGCCGGTCTTTGGCAACGAGGTCCTTTGGATTTCAAGAAAGAGATTTTGTCAGCCTTCTGGGCGTTGTCGAAAAATCTGGTGATTTTACGCACAGAAACTCACAAAGTAAAAAAATCATCTGGGCTTCTTCCTCCCACTCAAGTGCACCGGGCAGCTTTCTTTGCAAGCCGATTCCGACACCCTGAGAAATAAAATGCTCGGCTGTCAAAGCATACTCTTTGTCCACAAGTGCACCTCTGGTTGCCAACCTGTGTCTGTAAATGCAGTCGTACAGCCAGGAGGAGAAACCCTGAGGACCAATATCTTTAACAAGTCGTCCCAGGCAACGCCCAAGAGGAGAGCGATGATTGTACTCAAGACATCCTCCTACAAGCATCACACTCGCAGCAACCTTGTGCTCCTCGGTAATCTTCCTAAGGAGGGCAAACTGTTGGGCTGCCACTTGAACCGGATAGTGTCACACGGACATTTGCCCA